AAGAGGCAGCAGATCCATGAGTCTCATTATTGATGTTTCTATCTCTCTCTCCCTTCCTCTCTGAAATCAATAAAACTATATTTTTTAAAAATGCACACACACACACACACACACACACACACACACACACACAACCCTGGCCCATCGGACATCTCAGAAACCAGGCTGGGGCTGGGAGGGGGTGCAGGGTGGTGGCTTGGCGCCCTTTCCACCCCGCCCAGTGACTCAGCCATGGAACCAGGCTGTGAGTCATTCCGATGAATGAGGCACGTGGTCCCTGCTCCCCTCTCCAAAGTGAACTTGAGCTACACCCCTCACACAAGGGCCCAGACATGCTGGCCTTCACCCCCACCCCCCCACCAGACCTCCCAGTGCTTAGATCTCAGTGCCAAGGCCTCTCCACTCAGCCCCCTCCTCCCCCCCCCCCCCCCCCCAGCACATCCTGGATTACATTCTGTCTCTCCTGTGCGGTAACTGTCTCTCCCCAGCAGTCTGTAAACTCCGCCTCACCTCACCACCCACAGCCCATTGCCTGTGTAGACAGTAGGTGCAGCATAGGTGGCTACCAAATGAATACACACAGTGGCACAGATACACACATAAAAAGGGCAGGGACCGGTTCATTCTAGAAGGTGGTAGAGGAACCACTCACAACAGAGAGAGAGCTAAGGGCAGGCCAGACAGCAGGAAGCGATTCACCTGCCCCATTTCCCTCGCCCCCACTTCCTGTGCAGACTCCCCACCTCCCCCCAAGGTAGGTTCACTGACAGCCCAGTGGAGAACCAAGTCCCGTATTCCCAGAACACCATCAAGAACCTGGAGCCAGAAGAGTCTCGAAACATTTATTGTCATCCAAATATTTCATACAAAAAAGGACATAGCAACTGGGTTAGGGTTTATGAAAAAAATATCCAAAAATGCAGGTTTGTAGACATTTCTCTATTTACATCCGGGAGCGGGCTCTCCCCGCGTCACGCATCAGGCATCACGCACAGCAGCTGCACTTGTCGGAGGCTCCTTTGCAGACACAGCCCTGGGCGCACTTGGCACAGCCCACGGGGCAGCAGGTGCAGCAGCCTGGGGGGAAAGGGCAGAGGGAGAAGTCAGCACACATTACCGGCACCTCCCTGCCCAGCAGCAGGCCTGGCACAAGTTACCCCGCCAACCTCAGAGGACCCTGAGTTTCAGATGGCAGGTGGGAACCTTTGGAAAGGGTCCCACCCCTAGGAAAAGGCTGCTCTGCCATCCTGGGCCCAGACAGGTCAGAAAGCTTAAAGAGGCAGTGCCAGGGCCTGGGGGAACGGGAGAGGGGGGTGGTGGAGGTAGAGGGGAAGGCAATGGAGTCGGCCCCCAGCCTCCTAGGACCATACAATGAAGTGAGGAAAGTCCTCAAGACGAGGGAGGGGGCAAACCCTGGCAGTGCCCAGAAGGGTCCGGAAAGCTTTGGGCTGACTCTAGGGAAAGGGCTGCACCAGCAGGTGGGAGAGACCAAGTTCATGTGCATAAAGGCTCAGGACACTGGAGGGGTCAGAAGGCTCCATCCTCAGGACACAGGTTCTAGCTGGGGCTCCATCCCTGACACTGTTTGCTGACTCCCCTGGACCTCAGCGTCCTGTTCTAGAAGGAGAGGTTAGACTCCACGGCTCTCTCGGCTCTGGTTCTGATCCAGTGGCTGGGGAAGTGGGGTCCGCGGGTGCCTGCTGAGCTCTGGGGTCCCTCCCCACTCAGTTCCCCCCAAGTTCCCAGGAAGGGCCCTCGCTCACTCTTCTTGCAGGAGGTGCATTTGCACTCTTTGCATTTGCAGGAGCCGGCGCAGGCGCAGGAGCCACCTGCAAGGAGGAGAACGATGAGCAGTGAGATGCCTGATGCCGGAGACACAGCCGTCAATCAACCATCCCGCCCTGCCCTCCTCTGTGCCGCCGGTACCGGGAGCTCCTTTCCCGCTGCGGGAAGTTTAAGCCAGGCTTCACTCCCTTTTCATCCCAGGAAAGTAGGTCCCCTCCTGGTTTACCCCAAAGGGAGGTCCCAGGCTCCACACACAGGCCAGACAGACTGGGGCTGGGGCCCGGGTCCTGTATCCTCAACTGCCAACAGGCAATGTCCCCACCGCCCATCAAGTCCTGCACAGAACACTGCGTCCCAGTCCAGCAACCCCCGTTGCCCGGGAAGACAGCAACCTTGAGCCTCAGTACCCTCAACTCTCAAACAGAGGCAAAGGGCGACGGGAAGTGCTCTCCGCAGCTTGGCTAGGAAGGACGCACTGCAGCCATAACCAGATACCCCTGCTCCACCCCAAGGCCCCCCGTCCTGTGCCTGGGAAAGGGGCATCCAAGGCCCAGTGGCGGGGTGCTTACCAGTGGCGCAGGAGCAGTTGGGGTCCATTTCGATCAGCGGTGAGACTTGAGATCCAAAGCGAGAGCAGCAAGGGTACTCGTTCTGGTCCAATGCGTGGTGGCGCGGAGCAGCCCGCGTGCTGCTTTTATAGCCCAGAAGAGGCGGCCCGGGCGCACAGGCCCCGCCCCGGCCTTGCACCCCGCCCCGGCCTTGCACCCCGCCCGCCCGGCGGCTCCGTGCCGCCCGCAGCGCCCTTGGCCGGGCTGTGCGCACCTTTCCGGGCCGTGCGCACCGCTTCCCTGGGGCTTGACCTCCCTGCGCACCGCGGGGGCTGCACACGGGGCGCCCGATCACGTGGAGGAGCTGGGTGCCGGGCACACGGTGTCCCAGCTGCACGGCCCTGCCCCATTATCCCCACGGGGGCAGCCGCCCCTGTTCCCGCTGTTCCAGGAACTCAGCCGGAGTCCTAGAAGTCTGCCCCACCCCTCGCCCCCTCGTCTGTGTCTGCAGGTTCACCCTTTTCTGAGCCCGTGTGCAAACCCAGCCTGTGCTCACGTCCCTCACTCGGCTGGAGGCCCGGAGTTGTGTGCAGAAACGTGGTGGATGTGACCTTCACCCTCACCCCCTGCCCCTACTCACCCCCCTGTCCCCGCACAGATGCCCCTCTTCCCTTGCTTCCTGTTTACAGCGACGCGGGTGGGAGCATAGAGCGGCCCCTTCCCCTGTTCTTCCCTGCTCCGGACTAGAGCGGTGAGAGGGCATGTTGTCCTGGTCTTCCTTTGACTGAACTTTCCAGGGTTCGCTCAGCCGAGCGGGTCCACCCCCCTCCAGGCTGGAGGTTCCCACGGCATGGGATGCAATCCCTCCTCCCCACCCCACCCCGACCCCCACCCCCAAGGAAGGGATCCTTTTTAGGCACTACTGACCCGGCATAAATAACGAGCAAGAAACGATGTTATTTCCCTTTCGGTGTTCCTGGCAGTTACATAAGGGTTAGTCTGTGCCAGCCTTACTTCAGCACTTTGACTCTTTAAACCCTTCCTACTCTAAAGGGAAATCCCAGGACTACATGCGGCACAAGGAGTTTATAAACAGCCTGGTCGCGTGCTGGGAAGTGGTGCCCGCGATCTGACTCCAGTCACTTGCCAAAGGAAAGAGAAAGAACCTTCCCTTTGGCCCTGGCTGGTTTGGCTCAGTGGATAGAGCATCGGTCTGGGGACTGAAGGGTCCCAGGTTCGATTCCGGTCAAAGGCAATTACCTTGGTTGTGGGCACATCCCCAGTATGGGGTGTGCAGGAGGCAGCTGATGAATGCTTCTCTGGCATTGATGTTTCTAACTCTCCATCCCTCTCCCTTCCTCTCTGTAAAAAATCAATAAAACATATTAAAAAAAGAACCTACCCTTTGGCCCAGAGGTCTGTCCTTCACTACCTCTCCATGTCCAGCTGAATCCTGGGAGGGATCCTCCAGAAGGAATACACATGTCTGTGACCTTGAGGCTTTGTTCTAGGTCTGGCAGTGAACCGATTCTCATTTTCAGTCGTGGTGAGGAGTTTGTTTTTCATAGAAATACAGTCAAGGAAAGATGAGCTTTAAAAATTAAGTAAACAAATGGTGCAGGTCATGGCAGAAATGGTGAGCCCTTGCGTTATCTGCCAGGGACACGGCCTGTCTTCTGCTTTACATCCTGAGGGCCGATCCTTCTTGGTGGGAGAAAGGCTACCCTCCTCGGGCCACTGGTTTCGTGGTGGTCGCGTGGTCGATAGGGACAGCGCAAGGCACCGCAAACTTTTTCTTAATAATTCACTTTATTTGACCATAGTTGATGACCGTGAATGTGAGAATCTAAAAAGTGGTCCTCCCCCCAGGGCTTCAGAAGCAAGCGGCCCTCACAGCCTGTGCCCTGGGGCTCTGGCACTGACAGCAGCTGCCCCTCAGTGACATCACCTTCTTGCCTCAAGGCACTCATTTTCTTGGAAGACTAACTGTTCCATCTAGAACTCAGCTCTCTGAAGATCTAGGCCAGTCTCCAACCCAGCCCTGCGGGCACAGAATTCCTTACTCTTGTTGCACAGGAGAGAAGCCGGAGTCAGAGCAAACTCAACCACTTTTCTTATCGTTCACATACTTCACAGCAGGAGAATGTGGCAAAGGGGTCAGGGTGGACTGAAAAAAGCAAAAAAAAGCGGGTTGAACATGTTGCTCTGGTTACATCGGGGAGCAGGCTCTCCCCGACTTCACGCACAGCAGCTGCACTTGTCCAGGCTCCCTTGCAGGTGCAGCCCTGGGTGCAATGGGCACAGCCCGCGGGGCAGCATGGGCAGCAGCCTGGGGACAGCAGGGAAAATGAGGGGTCAGCGGTGACTGCCAGCCACCTCCCTGCACAACAGCAGGCCTAGCACAGCCCTCAGCTTCAAAGGACCATGAGGACAAAAGAGCATGCTCCATGGAGAAACAATTAGTAAGACCGCTAGGGCTTGGGTTTCACCAGGAGAAGGCTGGCCTGCCCATCTGAGCCCAGGACAGGGCAGGGCAGAGAGCCTGCAGAGGCAGTGACCGCTTCCCAGGGGCACAGGAAGACCAATTCTCCTGATACCTCCTCTCCCAACCAGCTCAGGGCTCCCTCCTCGCACTCCCCAGCCCCCAGCTTCCCAGGAAGGGCCCTCATTCACTCTTCTTGCAGGAGGTGCATTTGCAGTCCTTGCATTTGCAGGAGCCGGTGCAGGCGCAGGAGCCACCTGCAAGGAGGAGAAAGACAGGCAGTGAGATGCCTGATGCTGGAGAAACTGCAGTCCCTCAACTCTGCTCCCCACACCCCTCCCCTGGGCAGGGGCCAGCCTGGGGAACTCCTGTCCCACGTGGAACAGATGGGGGCCTACCCCCACTCTCTGCCCCTCTGCTAGAGAGGGCGGGGCACTCCCTTGTGCTTACCCCCCAGGGATGGTCCCCGGCTCCAGACCCGGTTCAGTTAGGCTGCGTCTGAGGGCCAGGACCTTCTGTCCTCAACCCAGAAGACACACTGTTCGCTGCCTCCAACCCGCAGGGACAACTTAGAGTCCTGGGCCAGCAGCGCCCTCTCACCCCCCCCGCCCCCCCAACACCTGATGATGTGGAGCAGGACAACCTGGACCCTCAGGCCTCTCCAACAGGAACCACTGGGAGGATGCAAATGCTCCAACCGGATGCGGGCCCTTGGCCAGGGAGAAGGCACAGAAGCTGCTCTCTCTCTAAGGCGTCTGCTTCCTCTCAAGCTCAAAATACTCCCTCCTCTCCCTCAGGGTGAGTAAGAGGCCTCCTGAGGTCCAGAGCCCGGGTTCCTTGCCAGCTGGGCAGGAGCGGTTGGGGGCCATTTCCAGCAGAGATGAGGCAGTCGGTGCAAAGCAAGAGAAGGGGCACTTGCGCCTGTGCACCGCGTGGTGGCGCCCAGGAGCCCGCGCGCTCACTTTATGCCCAGAAGAGGCGGCCGGGCGCAGAGGCCCGGCTCTGGCTCTTGCACCCCGTCCCTTGTGCCCGCCCCGCGGAACCGCGCGGCTCCCAACGTCCTTGTCTGGGCTGAGCGCACCTGGCTGGGTGGGGTGCACTGTTCCACCAGCCCCGCTGAGCTCCGTGCGCACCGCGCGGGCCCCACCTTTGGCCCCTGATCACGCTGTATGGTCCTAGGAGGCTGGGCGCCCACTTCCATTGCCTTCCCTTCTACCCCCACCCCCACCCCGCCACCACCATACCCCCAGGCCCTGGCACTGCCTCTTTAAGATTTCTGACCTGTCTGGGCCCAGGATGGCAGAGCAGCCTTTTCCTAGGGGTGGGACCCTTTCCAAAGGTTCCCACCTGCCATCTGAAACTCAGGCTCCTCTGGGGTCGGTGGGGTAGCTTGTGCCAGGCCTGCTGCTGGGCAGGGAGGTGCCCGTAATGTGTGCTGACTTCTCCCTCTGCCCTTTCCCCGCAGGCTGCTGCACCTGCTGCCCCGTGGGCTGTGCCAAGTGCGCCCAGGGCTGCGTCTGCAAGGGAGCCTCCGACAAGTGCAGCTGCTGTGCGTGATGCCTGATGCGTGACACGGGTAGAGCCCGCTCCCGGATGTAAATAGAGAAATGTCTACAAACCTGCATTTTCGGATATTTGTTCATAAACCCTGACCCTGTTGCTATGTCCCTTTTTGTATGAAGTATTTGGATGACAATAAACTTTTTGAGACTCTTCTGGCTCCAGGTTCCTGATGGTGTTCTGGGAATACGGGACTTGGTTCTCCACTGGACTGTCAGGGAACCTGCCTTGGGGGGAGGTGGGGAGTCTGCACAGGAAGTGGGGGTGAGGGAAATGGGGCAGGTGAATCGCTGGCTGCTGTCTGGCCTGCCCTTGTTCTCTCTCTGTTGTGAGTGGTTCCTCTACCACCTTCTAGAATTAACTGGTCCCTGTCCTTTCTGTGCGTGTATCTGTGTCACTGTGTGTATTCATGTGGTAGCCACCTATGCTGCACCTACTGTCTACACAGGCAATGGGCTGTGGGTGGAGAGGTGAGGCAGAGTTTACAGACTGCTGGGGAGAGACAGTTACCGCACAGGAGAGACAGAATGTAATCCAGGATGTGCTGGGCTGAGCCTGAGTGGAGAGGCCTTGGCACTGAGATCTGAGCGCTGGAGGGGAGGGTGGGTAGAGGGGGGAGAAGACCAACATGTCTGGGCCCGTGTGTGAGGGGTGTAGCTCAAGTTCACTTTGGAGAGGGGAGCAGACCGCATCGGAATGACTCCCAGCCTGGTTCCTTGGCTGAGTTGAGGGACTGCAGTCTCTCTTGCATCAGGCATCTCACTGCCTGTCTATCTCCTCCTTGCAGGTGGCTCCTGCACCGGCTCCTGCAAATGCAAGGACTGCAAATGCACCTCCTGCAAGAAGAGTGAATGAGGGCCCTTCCTGGGAAGCTGGGGGCTGGGGAGTGGGAGGAGGGAGCCCTGAGCTGGTTGGGAGAGGAGGGATCAGGAGAATTGGTCTTCCTGTGCCCCTGGGAAGCAGTCCCTGCCTCTGCAGGCTCTCTGCCCTGCCCTGTCCTGGGCTCAGGTGGGGCAGGCCAGCCTTCTCCCAAGCCCTAGCGGTCTTACTAATTGTTTCTCCATGGAGCATGCTCTTTTGTCCTCGTGGTCCTTTGAAGCTGAGGGCTGTGCTAGGCCTGCTGTTGGGCAGGGAGGTGGCTGGCAGTCACCGCTGACCCCTCATTTTCCCTGCTGTCCCCAGCCTGCCGCTCATGCTGCCCCGCGGGCTGTGCCCATTGCACCCAGGGCTGCACCTGCAAGGGAGCCTGGACAAGTGCAGCTGCTGTGCGTGAAGTCGGGGAAGAGCCTGCTCCCCGATGTAACCAGAGCAACATGTTCAACCCGCTTTTTTTTTGCTTTTTTCAGTCCACCCTGGCCCATTTGCCACATTCTCCTGCTGTGAAGTATGTGAACGATAAGAAAAGTGGTTGAGTTTGCTCTGACTCCGGTTTCTCTCCTGTGCAACAAGAGTAAGGAATTCTGTGCCCGCAGGGCTGGGGTGGAGACTGGCCTAGATCTTCAGAGAGCTGAGTTCTAGATGGAACAGTTAGTCTTCCAGGAAAATGAGTGCCTTGAGGCAAGAAGGTGATGTCACTGAGGGGCAGCTGCTGTCAGTGCCAGAGCCCCAGGGCACAGGCTGTGAGGGCCGCTTGCTTCGGAAGCCCTGGGGGGAGGATCACATTTTAGTTTCTCACATTCAAGGACATCAGCTATGGTCAAATAAAGTGAATTATTAAGAAAAAGTTTGCCCTGGCCGGTTTGGCTCAGTAGATAGAGTGGGCTGTGGACTGACGGGTCCTGGGTGGTGGACTTGACCCCCAGTGGGGGGCGTGCAGGAGGCAGCCTATCAATGATTCTCTCTCATCATGGATGTTTCTATTTCTCTTTCCCTCTTCCCTCCACTCTGAAATCAATAAAAACATATTTTTTTTAAAAAAGAAAACGTTTGAAAGGAAAGTATACAAACCCATTTTGTCATTCAACACATGTAATTGCAATAAATATATGAAGAACCAATAAGAACATTAGATCTTTACAAGCGCCGTGCGCATTTCCACCAAAAGTGTGCACTGAGCACTGGAAAACAAGTCATGCACGGCCCAGTGCGTGGAGCCCACAGCCTGGGAGGCACGCACACCCCGCCCCGATATCCCCACAGCGAACCATAGCTCTTGTCTTGCCCAGTGTCTCTGACAGGGCACCTGCCACCCCCTGAGAGCTCCTCGCTGTGGTTTGGCTTTGAATCTCAGGAAGTCCCTCCAGAGTCAGACAGATATATGACCCCACCAAACCCAGCCCTTGGCTCCCTGAAGCCGGCAAGGTGACTAGGGATGTGGAGAGAATTGCAGGGAGGTGCCGGTAAGGCCTTTTCTCAGCAAGTGCGAGGGCGCCTGAGCATTTCCAGATGAAGGGCTCTGTGTCTGCCCAGGCCGGGTGCTGGCGGGCTCTGCCCTTCAGGGGGCGTGCTGTTCATCAGACGGGGGTGAGGCCCTCAGGGACTTGTAATTAATGACAAAGGTTGGCCCCCACTGGCTGTTTGTGGAGGGAGTTGCTATTTGATGCAAAAATCAAAGGGAAAGTCAAGTCCAAGTCCCGTGGAGGGAGTCAGGCCCGTGCTTGCCCGCAGGTGCCCTGGGTGAGGAGGGCTCTCAGCAGCCAGCCTGTGTGAGGCCTCCTGGTTCACAGACCACTGTGCCGCTTCCTGGCCGTGTGACCGGGAGAAGGCCTTTCCCATCTGCAGAAGGAAATTATATCTGTATCTGAGGAGTAAGTGATCGTGCCCCGGCTCCAGGCTAGGGCAGAACAAACAGGCTGTGATGATCACTATGTCCACACTGACATCCACAAGGAGAGAATCCTTTTAACTCCCAGCATGCTCCTGGAGAAAGGCTCATTGGGTTTGAACCCTTTGCTCAGGGTCGGAGGCTAGAGATGGCATCGGAACCTGGCTGACCCCGTGCCATGGGGAGTGTGGGGGGCCGGCAATGAGCCCCCTGGGACATGATGTCTCCGGGTGGTCCATCCCGCCTCTCTGTATTCAGAGCTGGGAGGGGCCTTTGGGATAGTCCTGCTGTGCTCCTGGCTTGCGAGATGGAGAACAGGAGCCCAAGGAGGTCACAGGGCTCACAGGGACCTGACTGCCACTCTGCTCTTCCCGCTGCCTCTGGGCCAGGTGTGTGGCGTCCCCCTCTTCCCTGTGAGGCCACGGTGCCTGGTGGTGGGGGAGGGCATGATGCTGGGGGCAGCCGGCGTGAGCGCCAACCCAGCTGTGTCACCGATCGCCGGGTGTCATTACCTGTCTGTGGCTGAGTGTCCTCCACTATGAAAAGGGAAATAACAGTGTCTGGCTCTTAGGACTGAGTGACCTCACCCATGCAAAGAATTTAGAAGGATGCTGGGCACTGTGAGCGACCCGTAACGTTGAACCCAGAACCTAGAGCCTGCTCCCCACGTAACCAGAGCAACATGTTCAAACCCACTTTTTTTTCCTTTTTTCAGTCCACCCTGACCCCTTTCCCACATTCTCTCGCTGTGAAGTATGTGAAAGATAAGAAAAGTGGTTGAGTTTGCTCTGACTCCGGTTTCTCTCCTGTGCAACAAGAGTGAGGAATTCTGTGCCCACAGGGCTGGGTTGGAGACTCTCGGAGATCTTCAGAGAGCTGAGTTCTAGATGGAACAGATAGTCTCCCAAAAAGATCAGTGCCTTGAGGCAAGAAGGTGATGTCACTGAGGGGCAGCTGCTGTCAGTGCCAGAGCCTCAGGGCACAGGCTGTGAGGGGCGCTTGCTTCTGAAGCCCTGGGGGGAGGACCCCTTTTTAGTTTCTCACATTCCGACATCAACTATGGTCAAATAAAGTGAATTATTAAGAAAAAGTTTGCCCTGGCCGGTTTGGCTTAGGAGATAGAGTGTCAGCCTGTGGACTGAAGAGTCCCTGGTTTGATTCTGATCAAGGGCACATGCTCAGGTGGTGGGCTTGATCCCTGGGAGTGTGGGGGGGGGGGAGGGGCAGGAGGCAGCTAATCAATGATTCTCTCATCATTGATGTTTCAATCTCTCCCTCTTCCTTCCACTCTGAAATCAATAAAAACATACATTAAAAAAGATTGAAAGGACAGTATACAAACCCATTTTGACATTCAACACATATAATTGCAACAAACATATGAAGAACCGATTTATATGTATCATCCACCGCATAGGGGACAGTTTTCTGCTTGCAGACAAGCCCAGCAGGCCTGCGGTGCCTTGCACTGTCCCTATCAACCATGTGACCACGAAACCAGTGGCCCGAGAAGGGTAGCTTTTCTCCCACCAAGAAGGACCAGTGCTAGGGATGTAATGCAGGAGAAGCTTGGCCATGTCCCTCCCAGATACGGAAGGGCTCACCATTTCCGCCATCATCTGCACCATCTGTTTACTTAATTTGTAAAGCTCATCTTTCCTTTACTGTATTTCTATGAAAAACAAACTCCTCACCACGACTGAAAATGAGAATCGGTTTACTTCCAGACCTAGGACGGAGCCTCAAGGTCACAGGCATGTGTATTCCTTCTGGAGGGGGATGGAGAGTTAGAAACTGAAAGAATAAAAGAATGTTACAAACTG